CGGGTCTGCATGGTAATAAGAGACACTGGCAGGGCACGTTTTTGGCCTGATGGTGAAGCTGAAGGTGGTATGCCCACATCAGAATGCCTGAGTTCAGTTCCTGGCTCCAGATCTGGAGTCTGGCTTCCTGCTAACGCAGACCCTAGGGACAGAAGTGATAGCCCAAGTGGCTGGATCCCTGCCTCCCAGATGGAGTTCTGGACTCCTGGCTTCAACCTCCTTGCTGTTGTAGGCCTTTGGGGAGTGAACCAGCAGATGGGAGATCTGTTTCTCTCTCCCTCTCTGTCCATCCCTCCCTTTCTCTCACTGCCTTTTGAAATAAAAGGTACAAAGGATGCTCTCAGACTGGAGGCCCCACTATTTGGTTCTCAAATTTTCTGAGGTGTCTAACATCACTGAGAATGCATGGGAGTGTCTTGCTGTGACTGATGGATACCGTTTTCCTTCTGGGCTCACATGGTTACTACAGGAACATGGCTTACAGCGGTGAGACGGTGTCAGCCTGCTGACTACATTATGTCCAATGTCAGACTGCAGAGGCCCGCGTGGAGAGACTGTCCTGGTTCCAGGGAGGGAAACAGAAGCAGCTGTGAGCAGCAGGCCACCCACTCCCATAGTCAGGAATTCCTTTCATTTCTGAAAAATGAGTAGCTGAATCTGGAAGCAAAGCTGACATTGGCTTCCTGAGGGGAGAAGCGCTCACGTGAGAGGTGTATACTGCAGAGTCTGGAAGGTTCTGAAGATAATTAGAGGTGGAAGAAGAGGAAGCTGCCGCTCAGACAAGGCTGCTGATGGTGTGTGCAGCTGGGTGCAAGACGAAAATACAGAGGTGATCATGAAGCACCTGCAGGGGAGGAGACTAAGAGGAGGGAAGACGTCTTAACTCTCTGAATGGGTGTGAGACAGAATGAGCCAAGAAGCAGTAGCCAAAGAGAACTGAGATCCACTCTGCCTGTAATAGGCAGGGGATGGAGAGGCCCAGGGCGTCCTCCCAGCAAAGGCCATGCCTGGGGAAGGTGAGGCGCGGGCGTCCATCTGGGGGCACAGAGCAGTACCCCTCCCTGAGTTGTCATGGCTGCTTTTCTGAGTTGCCCTGATGGCCTGCACTTGGCCCTGTCACCAAGCCCTGAGCTGTCCCTGGCACACCAGTGACCAGCCAGTCACGGGCTCCTTGGGCTCTTGACCACTCTGCCGCTTGCTCTGTTAGCTGGAAGTGAGACCGTAAGCACAGCAAGAACAAGGACCACACTCCACTGCCCTTCGCTTTCTCACACACCTGCCCGGCTGCAGCCAGCGGTGTGTGCAGGTGGGAGAGCGTGTCCTGCTGCTGCGGATGCTGCAGCCCCAGGCAGTCCCCATAGCAGGTCAGCTCTGGACTGGCTGCTGTGTGTGTCCTAAGGGACAGAGCCACTCAGGGGCCACTTTGCTCCTTCTCCAGTCCTGCCGTCAGTGCCTTGGCTGGAAGGAGACATGAGTCACTGCCTGCGGGGCCTCTGTCCCTGGTCTCTCATCCTCAGAGTTTCTGATCCAGCGGGCTTCTTGCTTGGGCAGTTTGGACCACCAGTGTGCTGAGAAGAGCCAAGTGCTGGTCTGTTCAAGCACCAGGACGTGCGGCTGGTGGCATGGGGGGAGGCCCAGGCAAGCCCCTCTTCTCCACCATGGCCTGGGCCACTGCTCCCTGCCCACCATGTTTCCATCGGGTCTGGGTCTCAGACATGGCCCTGAGTGTCTCATTCCTTGATTTCTGCTTCCTCCTCTGGACCTCCCAGAGCCCTTCCTGCTTCAGGCCTTCTTGTTTGTGTAGATGAGCACCTGTCTGTCTTGTAGGGGTGTTGGGCAAGCTGCCGCCACTCCACGTGCCCCCGCGGTTGAGCTGGAGGTGGCTGTCTCCCTTCAGAGGCTTCCGTGCCCTGGCTTGAGTCTCCCTCATCAGTCTGCTCAGTTCTGGAGCCCTGAGTCAAAGCAGACATGGGCGACGGGGGGCCAGCATAGGGGTTGTCACGGTGGGGAAGGAGGGCACTTTGTGTTCACTTGGGCGGGAACTGGAAGAGTCCTGGGGTCTGGAGAATGCAGAGACATGGATGGGAGGCTGTGCTGTGTTCCCAGAAGCCTGATGCTGGGCTCCATGGGGCTGGGTGCTCCTGCAGGGGAAGATGAAAGTGAACTGGTGAGCATTTGCTGCCTAGGACCCAGCACCGCCGCACAGGTGTGACGCCCGAACGGCCAATCATCCATGTGCAGGGGGTCTTTCTGATTCGTGTCCTGAGTGGACCTGGTGAGCTTTGCCTTTTCTGTATTCAGTGTTGGAACATCGCGTCTCGAAAACTCCAGCTGGTCATTTCCTCAAAGATACTTAAAACAATGAACAATGACTTCACTGGGACTGGAATTGTGGCCCAGCAGCTTAAAAAAAGCGCGCGGTGCTGGTGTCCCCTACCAGTGCCCATTCGAGTCCCAGCCTCTCTACTTCCCATCCAGCTCCCTGCTCCTGCACCTGGGAGGTGGAGATGATGGCCCAAGTGACTGAGTCCCTGCCACCACCTGGGAGACCTGGGTGAAGCTCCTGGCTCTTGGCTTCAGCCTGGCAAAGCCCTGGCTGTTGCCACCATTTGGGGAGTAAAACAAGTGAATGGATGATCTCATTCTGTTCCTGCCATTCAAATAAATAAGTAGATCTTTAAAAAAATTATTTCCTCGTTACTGGTATTTGAGCCACGTTTGCCTGTGCCAGTGGCCAGCTGTCCACTGTGGTAGTCCAAGGTATTCCTCATGGTCTCAGTGCCTTGTGTGCCCCAGCTGGACCATGTGGAAGCACATGTGCCACTTCCAAAATTCAGACAGGAGAGGACGGTGCTGTCTTTGGTGGTCACCTGCCCTCAGGTTCTCTGGGGGAAGCCACCTGCTGTTTGGGGAACAGCTCTGTGGAGAGGCCCACGTGACAGGACCCACTGTCTCCAGCCAAAAGTCAGCAAGGACGGGAGCCTGCAATAGCTGCTGGGTGACCTTGGGAGGAGCTTTGAGATGACCACGGCTCCAGCAGACACCTGCACTGCAGCCTGTAAGGTGCCCTGAGCCAGGGGGCCCATGAGCAGGGCCTGGGTCTTTGGCCCACCGGAGCTGAGGAGTGATGAATGTTTGCTGTTTGAAGCTGGGATGTTCTGGGTATTTATTATACAGCAACGAATAAGTATTGCATCCATTAGCAGTGGACTTGTGGAGTAAGATCTTGTCCTGTCCATGTGAGAGGACATATATCGGTGGAAATGATGAAGTAGAAGACTGTTTGACAATATGGGAAGCATTCACATTTTATTTGAGCATAGTTGGTTGTTACTAAACAGGGTATGCTGGGTGGTCCAAGACATAGATGAAAAGTACTAGAGGCCGGCGCCACAGCTCACTAGGCTAATCCTCTGCCTTGCGGCGCCGGCACACCGGGTTCTAGTCCCGGTCGGGGCGCCGGATTCTGTCCCGGTTGCCCCTCTTCCAGGCCAGCTCTCTGCTGTGGCCAGGGAGTGCAGTGGAGGATGGCCCAAGTCCTTGGGCCCTGCACCCCATGGAAGACCAGGAGAAGCACTTGGCTCCTGCCATCGGATCAGCGCGGTGCGCTGGTTGCAGCACGCTGGCCGCAGCGGCCATTGGAGGGTGAACCAACAGCAAAGGAAGACCTTTCTCTCTGTCTCTCTCTCTCTCTCACTGTCCACTCTGCCTGTCCAAAAAAAAAAAAAAAAAAAAGTACTAGAGCTATATTCACTGACCTGCGCTGAATATGGAATTTGTGCCTGGATGTTTGTTATTTTACCAAACTCCTACTATGGATATGTTACTTTTAAAACCAGAGCATGGGGGCTGGCGCCGTGGCTCACTTGGTTAATCCTCTGCCTGCGGCACCAGCATCCCATATGGGCGCCAGGTTCTAGTCACGGTTGCCCCTCTTCCAGTCCAGCTCTCTGTTGTGGCCCGGGAAGGCAGTGGAGGATGGCCCAAGTGCTTGGGGTTGGGCCACAAAGTGCAACCCAGATCCCACAGTGCTTTGCAAATGGAAGTTGGGCTATGAAGCCCTCATGAAGGTTCCAGGATGAGGATTCCACACCGGGGGACAGCACGGAGGAGGGAACGACTCGGTGCTGCTGGCCTGGGGAGTCCACAGCAGTGTCCTGGGGTCCGTGGCAGCATCCTGGAGTCCTTGACAGCCTCCTAGGGGCCACAGCAGCGTCCTGGGGTCATGCCAGGTCATTTGTTTCTGGAAAAGGGGAAGGCGTGGACATTGGGACTGCTCAGGAGAGCCCCCGGGTCTTATTTCTTTGGGCAAACAGGCAGAACAGCATGGTCCCTTTAGTAAGAGCTGCAGAGAGCCACCCAGCGTCTGCCTTTGGGAACCCAAGTGGGATGTCCAGGAGAGGGGGAAGATCAGGAGGGCAGGTGGAGACAGGACCCACCTGCTGTGTCCTGGTGCGGGCAGAGTGACAGAGAGAGGCAGATGGAGAGAGAGAGTCTGTGGCTGGTTCACTCCCCAAATGGCTGCAAAGGCCAGGATTGGGCCAGGCTGAAGCCAGGAGCCAGGAGCTTCATCGAGGTCTCCCATGGGTGTGGCAGGGATCCAAGCAGTTGGGCCATCTGCTGCCTTCCCAGATGCGTTAGCAGGAAGCTGGGATTTAAACAGGCGCTCTGATACGGCATGCCGCGTTGCAGGTGGAGACTTAACTCGCTGTGCACAGTGCCAGCCCAGGGCTGCTTTGTTGGTGTTAGGATATGTCCTCCCCTTACACTCTCGGAAGTCTTCCCAGTTTGGGGTTGGGCCGCATCTGTGACCATGGACAAGAAGACAGTGCCCACAACAGCAGGTGCCTCCCCTGCACCACACACCTCCTGTCCATCCTTGCAGCCAATCCTTACAGTGACCTTGTAAGGAAGGGGCTTGACCTTGGGTGGGGCAGGTAGAAGTTCAAAGACAGGTGTGCTTAAGTTTGATGCCCGAACATTTCCTCTGTTTATTGCAGGGTCTCAGAGAGGGGAGGGGAGGAACTCGTTTTCCCAAGAGTTTGCTCTGCTGCAATCATTCCTCAAGCCTGGCCAGTCACAGAAAACCCAGTGCCCTTCCTGACTGCGCTGTAAGTACAGTGACCTCCACTCCCCACCCCCAACAAAGTCAGGGCTCCAGGGGTGCAGCCGTGGCTACCAACACGTGCACTAAGTAAAACAGGGATTCATGCCTGGGGAGCAGTGAGAGGCCATCCAGACCTGGGTTTGAGGCTTGGGAGGCCCAGAAACACGGTGCCTGTTCCCTGGAGGCTGTCCACGCAGGCTTGGCAACAGCACAGGCAGTGGTGCCGAGCTTCTGATGTGTGTGCGTGACCGACAGAACGTTCAGTGGGCATAATTTAGTCCATTCCCTGCACAGAGGCAGGGAATACCCAATTTTTATTTATTTGTTTAGTTTCTATTCCTGTCCAAAGATGTGTAACCAAGAGATTAGAAGGGAAGAAAAGGAAGGAAGGAAGGAAGGAAGGAAGGAAGGAAGGAAGGAAGGAAGGAAGGAAGGAAGAAAAAGGAAGAGAAGGAAGGGAGAGAGAGGAGGATGTGTCTTCTTTCCACTTGGGCATTTTCCCCACACAGTCTCAAGACGGGCAGGATGAGGTCCTTCCTGCCACAGGGTTTTCTGGCTGTGGGGGTGGGGGCACAGCAGAGAGCACAGATGACCATGCCTCCCTCCAGGCGCTGGCTTCAGCTTTCCTCCCAAGGCTGCAGAAGAGGTCTCGTTCAAGGGCTCACGATGGGTGCCTGTCCCCACTGACCGAAATGGCTGCCCTGCTCTCTGCGCCCTGGGACTCCGTCTTTAACAAACTGCAGCAAACAAGTCTGAAGGCTTGGGCACGTGGCACCCCGGCCGCCGTGACCCCGCCAGGCCAGAGGAGTCTGCAGAGGGCTCCCAGTTCCGTCGTGGGCGTCCCACCAGCTGCTCTCGTCGAGGGTAAGCACCACAGGACCGCGGCGGCAGTTAAGTGTGAAAGCCATGCATCGATGTGATGCAGCGCTGCACGGTCCTTGAGAGAAACACGGCGCCTTTCTTAGAAGCACCGGCAGTGCGTGCAGCTGTGGTCGCTGCCCCGTGATCAACAAGGAGCCACTCTGCGAGCACCCAGGGGTCCTGGTTTTCTCTCTCTTCTTAAAACCCACCCAGGCCCACATCCCTGGGGATTTGGAGACCTGAGCTGGGGGCTCCATGCTCTCATGCCCCCTCAAGGAAGTGTTTCTGGAGGGCTCGTGTGGAGCTGCTGCAGGCCCGGCCAGGGAGCTCTGCAGAAACCCCCAAGTGACTGGTGCTATTTTTATCAAAAGCAAATAGGAAATAACGATTTCTTTGGGATATGCATCCTCTCCAAAAATAATAATAATAATAAAAAAAACACTTCTCGTTTCGACAGAAAGAGGAAACGGATCTGCAGAGCCTGGCTGGGGCACCGTGGTGCAGAGACTCCCACGCCAGACAGGGGACCCGAGTCCCAGGCTATGACTCCGGCATGGAGCCTACCTAGTTTGTGCAGCCGCCCCCGTCCCACGGTTGCCCAGAGGTGTGTCCCCTGCGGCCTGACACTCGGGAGGCAGGGTCCTCTGAAGACTCAGGGCCAAGCCTTCACTCCGCCCCTGGCCTGGAGCTAAACGCGTTTCCTTCCTGTAATTCTCCTCTTGGGTCCAGCTGCCCCGCCCCGGCCTGGCCCTTTCACTCTGCCTGTGCCCAGAAGAGAGCAGGGCTTATGTTCTGATTTGTATTCCAGGTCCAGATGCAGCTGTGTTAAGCCCAGGTCACCATGAAGTTTGGGGCCCGCTCCTCAGCACAAGCCTGGCAATCATTCCTGGTTCCTGTGCCCCTGGGAAATTAAATACCCACTCCACCCCCAGAAGGTGTCACAGACAGGAGGCCTGGACCGCCTGCATTTTCTGGGCTGCAATGGACTTTTAAAGGTGCGAGTGGTCGAGGCAGGACTGGCATTACAGGAAATCAGCAGCAGCAGCTCCCATCGTGGCGAGGTCACCATGAGAGGCGTCATTGATGCCTCTTGTCCATGGGGACGGGCAGAGAACTCAGCAGAGCGAGGAGCCCCAGGATGGGCACGGATCTTGGGCTGTCCTGGCGAACGAAGCCCCATGGCCACCCCCACCCCAGCACACACAGCCTCTGGGCCCTTTGCCCAGGCTGGAGACACTGCTGTCCCAGCTCAGGGTTTTATGTGCTGGGCACTGTGCTGGGCAACTGTGTGGCACTAACTTTCATCTGCAAAGCCTAAATGACTCCCCACCCCCTTCCACCAGAAATAAACCCATGAGGCCATTCCAGATTTTTCCAGCATCTTCAGTAACGGAAATTCCAGCCGTGTGAGATCCTTGTTTCAGAGAACAGGAAGCGGCCCCCGCTGGTGGCTCAGGGGGATCGGCAACTCGCGGGTTCAGAAGCCAGGGTCACCAAGCCAGAGGCAGAATGCGCACAGAACTCTTCTGGAGCTTTGACTCTCACAGGACGGTGCCAGGGGCCTGGGTCTGAAGCAAACAGCTACAACTTCAGAACCTTCACCTGGAAAATGCAACTAAAAGACTACTTTGGGTGCAAAACATCTTGAGATCTGTGGGTAGATTTCTCACAAAACACGCTTTCTGTGAACTCTCTGACAACTCCTTGTGTGTGTAGATTGCAAATTGTTTGCACCAACTACTCACCTTTCTGTTTTCCCACAAACTCTTCAATTTATCCTCATGTTTCTATGGGATGGGGAGCTAATTGATTTTCGTAGATGTGGTCTGGCCGGGCAGGGCTGGCTTGCACTTGCAACCAGACGGAAGTGAAAGGAATCTCAGACAGCTAAGACCGCAGGTGACCAGGCAGTGGGTGATTAATTTACGCCTGCATGGGCGCCCAACCAGGACCTTCCTGTTCCTTTTCTGGAGCTCACTGGCCGGAGGCCTGCGTAGACCTCGTGGCTGCGAGGGTGCCCAGGGTCTCTTCCTCTCTCTGGCTGGGTGGTGATGCCATTCACCGGAGGATTTACATTGCGGAGTCCAGGGACTGAGTGGGTCCCGGGGGTGGACTGGTCTCCCTATGGTTCAGGCTCAGCCAGGGCCCGCGGGGCACTGGGAACCAGGAACCAGGCAGAAGCACCTCAGGGCCCAGCAGTGACCCCACGCAGGTCCTCCCAGGCCACCCCTGCACCCACTGAGGGCACAGCCCTCATAAATGACATGACAGAGCCCAGTGCAGATCCCTTTGGGCCAGCAGGGCTGCTGTGGTGACCTCTCTGCACTGCCCCAGCCTGCTCTGGGGCTGGCAGCTTAGGGCATGTGTCATCAGGACACAGGTCCTGTGTTTCTTTTTGGTAAATCAAACACAGTTTTCGTGTCGCAGGTGTGGACAGAATTCATCGCCAGCAGAAAACGTAATAATAAACTTCCACTGCAACCTCCCCACGTCCCCAGCACAGGTGTTCCATGGGCACCTGCGGCAGACAGCGCCTGGGGAATGCGGGGCTTCTGCCAGCACCACAGGGCCTCTGCAGACAGCAGTGGGCACAGCCACGGCTCACTCAGTTCTCTCACCTTTTGCACAGCCCTTCTTCTCTGTGAGGGGGTGCGGAGACACTGAGGTGTGCACCTGCTCACTGGAAACCGCAGCGTCCCCTCTCCTGGCCTGCACTGGCCGCTTCTTTCCCTCTGCAATAGCCAGGCCGCATCGGCCAAAACACGGTGCTCAGATCCCTGCCGGTGCTGTGCTGTGAACCGGCACCCTCCCTCCTCACACGGTTGTGGCTGAACTTGTAGACATGGAGGGCCTGTCACTATTGGCCCACTTAATCTAGGCACACCCTGCCTACATCTAGATGGTGTTGGACCAGCTGCCCCCTCCACAGCAGGATCCGCAGGACACTGGGCACCCAGAGGCTCACGGTGGGGTTGACTGCCCCCCCCACTGTGGGACTTCTCTCTGATCCTTTACTCCCCTTTACATGGGAATGTGTTTGAGTCAGACCCCGACCAGGATGTGGTGTGCAAGGAAGAGGGGCCTTTCCCTTGGGGCTGCTTTGCCCTCAGAGGGGGATGGTGCCATCCACAGTCAGAGGAAGTGTTTATAGGGAGAATGGATTTCCTGCTTAAAATATGACTGACTTGAGAGGATGGGGAGAGAGAGAGAGAGAGAGAGAGAGAGAGAGAGAGAGAGAGATCTTACATCTTTTGGTTCAATCACCAAATGCCTGCAACAGCCAGGGCTGGGCTAAGCTGAAGCCAGAATCTGGGATCTACATCAGGCCTCCCACATGGATGGCACTGGTGCCGTCACCTGCTGCCTTCTGGGGCACATTAGCAGGGAGCTGGCTCAGGAGTCGGAGCTAAGGATGAACCCAGGCACTCTGGTGTGAGACGGAGGCATCCTAGACCCCAGCCCACACCCCTGCTGAGAGTGGGCTTTTAGGGTAGCAGGGAGGTGGGAGCAGGCACCTTTGAAGTCAGGGTTTGCTGAACCCATTCACAACACAGTTGATCGTACGGAGCAGATGGGAGCTCAGTAAACACAGATGGGAAGTTCATTTCATGATTATTATTAGTCTTACTTGAAAATTAGACATGTTTGTATTGGTCACGTGGGCTAAGGGTTTTTGCTTTGGAACCAGAGGAACACGCCTTACTCTGTTTGCGGTGACAGATGCCACCCCCGAGACTGGCTTGTTGTGTCACCAAGGAAGTGGGCACCTCTGTGTGACCCCAGCCCAGGGGAGCTGTGCCAGATAAGCAGACCCTATGCTTCTGAGGCGGCCTGTGAGCGAGTAAACAGCTCGGTTTCGGAGGGGGAGCGGGCTGCTCGGGGAGGGGGCAGAGGAGGCGCGGTTTCATTTCCCATTAACCCCCCTGCCCCCAGCCTGAACTAAGTGGGGAGCTGGAGTGATAGCCAGCTTGGCAAGGACAGGGCCATGCCCAGGGAGCAGCGTGAGGTCACTGTGTGTGTGGCCACCTCAGCGATGAGTCACGGAGCCCTGCATGCGCCCACATGGGACCACTGAGGAGAAGCAGGCAGGCCGTGTGGCCTCAGTCCTTGGCAAGCAAACACTCCACGTCCGCCTAAGAATCCTGCCTGCTGACCCAGAGCCACTAGAGCCACGGCCCTAGTGTAGCCATGGGCACACTGCGAGGCTCCCTTGGGGCAGGGATGGGAGAAGCAACTGCAGGGGACGGCCATCGCGGGTCACGGGGACTGGAGCTGTCAGCTCGGGCAGCCACAGTGGCCTCCGTAGACTCACAGGGCCCCATGGGACCCTACAGGTAGTTTTCCTGTTTGTCAGAGTCACGTGGTGAGCGTTGTAGCCAGGCAGGTCCCTCACACTGGAGCAGATCCCTGCTGCCCTGATTTGGAGGGTGACACAGGGCGGGTTTGCCCCCCATAGAGCTCACACTGTACCTGACCCTGCCCAGTCCTGCCCCGCTGGGGAGGAGGCAGCAGGGGCTGTAGTTCACATCCTCTGCTGTCTACAGGATGCCGGCTTTCTAGCCCACAGCACAGCTTACCTGAGACCGTCAGTCCAGCTGCATGTGGAACTGGGAAGGACACTCGGGGCTTTGCCAGGCCTGGGTGAGGGTTGACAGCTCAGGGGGCAGGGCTCCTGGCCCTGCTGCCTCCTGATCCAGTGCCAGGAGAGACGGGCCATGCTGGATGACTAGGCCCAGGCCCCAGCCCAGGCAGCCAGACAGCTAACGTCAGGCCGAGTAGTGGAAGGGACATTGGTGTGTTCCACGCATCTAGGCTTCCTCCACTGTGTATCGCCAGGAGCAGATGGCCCAGAGCCAGGGTCAGCAGATCCCCCTGCCTTCTGCCCGGGCCCCTGATACACTCGGATCTCAGCATCATTGCTTTTGGCAGAGTACGTGCCAGCTGTGGTGTCACCCACAGTCAGACGGGGCCCTGCTGCCCCGTGTTAGGGTAGGAGCTGGCAAGAGAGGCAGGCCCTGTCCCCACCTGCTGTGCAGGGAGTGCTGCCTGCGGGGGAGCCTGGGTGTCAGTGCCACAAACGGTGACAGTGGACTGACAAGTGCGGCCCACTGGCAGAAGCCCCGTCACACACACCGTCCCCGCTGTGAGGCAAAAGGCAGCGTCGGGGCCTGAGCAGAGTCATCGTACACTTGGGATGACAAGGGCCTGTGATCAGTGGGCACCTGTGACGTGCCTGTGGCCTGATGGAGCACGAGGGCCGGACCCAGGTGTGTGGCACACGGGGCAGCGTGGCCCCTGGCTTGGGGCTGTGTGAAGCTCACCTCTGCGGTGGCATCTTTGGCACCTCACTGCCACCCAGAAACAACAGTTGGCCCCAGAAGCACAGGTGTTACTTTCGCTCTTAGTAAGCACCGTGCCAGGCTTGGGGCAGTCGGAAAGGGTGGAGGAGAGCTGGGCGTGTTGGTGGCTCCAGCCAGGCCTCAGGTGACACACCCAGGGTGGAGGGTCTGTGCCCACATCCTCCCATCTGCGAGAGCTGGCTCGTGCAGGGCTGCTGGGTGCCAGGGAGGCCTCGGCTGGACGGTGCTGGAAGTGGGCACAAGCTGATAGCTTCTGGATACGTCTCGGCATCCAGAGAACACCACAAAACCATTCGGTGCAAAGTATGTGACGTTCCTGACCCAGGAGGGCAGGGGTGTCCAGCACCTCGGATGTGGCCTGTGGCTTCATCTCGAGTCACGTCCAGTGTTGCACCCATATTAAAGCTTTCATATGGTGCAGCCCCGTCTCTGCCAGGACCTGCGGCTCCGGAGCAGAGAGTGTCCAGGCAGAGCCCTGTGCCAGAGCAGACAGCTCAACACCCCGCCGAGGCTGGGGCTCTGCTAGGAAACTTTCTGAGCAGGTGACGGAACCCACACTCACCTTCCAGTGTGCCCAGGACTGCTGGGGTCCTGGGTAAGCACCTGCATTCCCACCAGACTCCCGGGTGCCCTGGGGGTCATTCTTTGTGGGCACTGTGGATGCAACGCTGTCTTTGCATCCAGTCTCAGCTGGGCTGGGATAGGCACGTGCTGAGAATGTGGCTTCACTTCTGTAAGGAGGAAGCACTGTCTGCCTCATCCACTCCACCTGTCATCTCTTCCAATGGCCAACACCCCTCTCCGTGGATGCTGTATCTGGCTACTGGCTTTTGCCAGGCCCATCGAGGGGTCTAACGTGGGCGAATGAGGACCCACACCTACTTTACCACTTTTTAATAGTTATTTATTTGAAAGGCAGAACAACCGAGATGGAGTCAGCGAGAGCTTTTATCCTCTGGTTCATTCCCCGAAGCTCACAACAGCCGGGGCTGGGCCAGGCTGACTCAAGGAGCCTGAGACTCTGCTGATCTCACACGTGGGTGGCAGACACTCCGATACTTGAGCCGTCATCTGCTTCCTCGCAGGGCGTGCATGAGCAGGAAGCCGGATCAGAAGTGGACGAGCAGGGACAGGACCCCAGGCCCTACGATATGGGACGTGGGCCTTGTGGGCAGCAGACGTTGGCCCCTCCACACCTTCTTTAAACCGCAGAGGCCATCCTGCCTCCTCCAGAGGACCCGACTCACTGGAGAGGCTGTTGCTGACGATGCTGCCCGACAGTCACACAGTCCTGAGGCCTCACTCAGGGCAGGGCAGGGCAGGTGTGGGGGAGCTCCTGGGGTGGGGTGTTCTCACTCAGGGCAGGGCAGGGCAGGTGTGGGGGAGCTCCTGGGGTGGGGGTGTCCTCACTCAGGGCAGGTGTGGGGGAGCTCCTGGGGTGGGGTGTCCTCACTCAGGGCAGGTGTGGGGGAGCTCCTGGGGTGGGGGTGTCCTCACTCAGGGCAGGGCAGGGCAGGTGTGGGGGAGCTCCTGGGGTGGGGGTGTCCTCACTCAGGGCAGGTGTGGGGGAGCTCCTGGGGTGGGGGTGTCCTCACTCAGGGCAGGGCAGGTGTGGGGGAGCTCCTGGGGTGGGGTGTCCTCACTCAGGGCAGGTGTG